GTTGCAGCCTCATCTGTCTACTGCTTGAATAGCTGTGTTGTCTGCACTCAAAACTCTTGCTGGACTTTAAAGCTACTGTTAATCATCAACTAACATCAACAAAATGCTTCTGACTTGTCTCAGAATAACAAATAAGCCATCCAAACAAAAAACGGCATGCACTCAAATTATTTGAAAAAACTTCAAGAGGAATTTTCTTTGCTTTTGATTGCTAAGTATAAGCAAGAATTTGCATGGAATAATGTCACAAGCAAAAATTAGATTATTGTGTTTACTTTCAAATATAGGCTAAGGGACATCTCTTTAAGATATGTATATGCCATGTGATGCAGTTAAGTACCTTCACTGCAATAAAAGGTGTACTCAAATGCCATTAAAAATCAATGGGAGTTAGGTACTTCTGTCCTTCAAATTCCCCAGCAACTTCAGTATGATCTGTTTTTCTCTGTTACTCCCTAAATACTTTGACAGCCAGGTCTTACTATATATCTCCCAGCAGAGAAGATTATGAGTTGAGATGTGAAGTTCTCTTTCAAATGAGATTTTAGCCCAGGCACTCAAAACCATGCTAGTACCAAAGTTTCAGAAAACTTTGAAAGGTGTTTACATGTGAGAGGAGCCCACGTGAAGATGAAAACAAATCACTCATCCTACATATGCTTTTTCCCCAGCTGCCTACTCTCCTGTCTTTTAAAAGCTGTTCCTTCAAGCCTTCCTGTTTCCAAGGAAGTCCATTTTGTTTCTCCTTTCACCCCTCTAACAGACTCTTTCACTCATTGCAAAGCAACTGCCTTCCCTTTGGCACTGTTCAGTTTTTTCCAGGGAAGTGTGACTCAGGTCCTCGTCCCTCTTCACGCCTTTCTGGGCATCCCAGCCTGAGTGCCATGCTGAGCCAACTACAGTGCCCTTCCTAAGGAAACCAGTGCTTGGATCTGAAAAAACAGACAAATCGTACTGTCACCCCTCTTTACCTTGATATGTCAGTTCTTTTTTTGTCCAAATACTTTTGCTTAAGTCAGCTTTTGTCGTGGCAAACACTCTTCATGACATAAATTTCAAAAATCCAGAGTGGAGCTCTCATTAGACGTCAGACAGCACAAGAAACCCACAGGGTGCCTTGCTTTTGGTTGAGTTTTTCATAGTATGGGTAGGCCAGCAGGAAAATGAGGGCAGAGCTGCCAGTACAGGGACACTGATACAATCTACATTCCTTGCACACACAAAAAAGGGCTTGGTTTAGACATCTCCAAATCGTACCAGTACAAAGATAGTACCGGTGTACAAACAAAGTAAAACACAGAGCCTTATAAGGTGGTCTCCAACAGCACTGAAGTCAATTAATAAGTAAAGCTTTGATGATGTTAGAAGTGCCAATGAAAAACTGCTAGAATGAATTATTGTACAGGTGATTAATGCCTGTATGCATATGTATAAGGACATGAATTTACCAGACACTATTTCTACAAAGACTGTATTGAGTAACTGAGAAACCTGTGCAAATGTAATGTTCTTGATTAGTGCATCTGAAAAGTTTGATTCCCAGCTAGTTTTGCCCCAGAAGTGATTTTGCCCACTATAACAAGAGAGGGACAGAACATTTCTTACAAAAGAAATAGAACATTTTACTGTTTTACTTTTTTCAGTCTGTCTCCAGGCTTTTTTTTTTGCCCATTTTTCAGTCAGACTCGACAAAAATCCTGAGTATTTCTGCTGGAGTGGTTCTCTTCCCTGCTCCTTCTCCTGCATCAGCAGAGCTTTTTTACAATAACTTTCTTTCGAAAAACAGGCCTGAAAAATGTGCTAAATCTGTGCATGAAGTGATTTTGTTCGCTAACTAGACCTATAAAACCTTTGTGAGAAGCCAGGAATAGGAATGTGGCCCTCACCATGTGTTGGCTCTTGTCCCCGAAGTGAGCATCCCTCCCAAAGCAAGCCCTAAGTGAGCAGTGCTGCAGAGACATCCTGAGTGGCAGCTCTGCTTTATGCATTGCTCAGGGGAGCTGTGCTACTCCAAGACACACTGCTGCAGGGCTTTAATGAAGTTTGAGATCAGTATCTCTGTCACTGCTTACAGCAAGTAATGAACTGTATCATTACCACTATCAACGTACCCCAGGCCATGTTAATTTGCACTTGGCAACTCATAACATGCACATTATAGTGTGGTTGTGCAGCTCCTTTTGTGTAGATACGTTCTGAAGACTGGCATCAGAAATGCAAAAAAATGTGCTAGTACACAACTATATGTATAATCTAACTCTGTTCTTCCATTATATAAGTTCATCAGACGTGCAAAGAAAACAATGCAATTTAACTTATACAACTGCAGTCACTAGAAATGAGCACAGATAAAGAGATCTCTACCATGCAAAGAGAGAATGATGGCAGAAGATCTTCTCTTTGCAGGGGCTGTGGTTTCCTTGGGACTGGGAGAAGGCTGGGCTAGGTGCTCTGCTCCTGTTTGCCCTTTTTCTGGATGCTTCAGCCAAAGTTCCTCTTGACTTCAGTAGGAGTTAACCTACAAGCAAGGGGAATGCCCAAGAAAGGTTATGCTTTTAGAAAACATGATAAAACTTGTTGGATGCTTTGGAAAATGTGGCATTTTCACAAATCAGAGTCATCAGACAGAGGTCTGAATTCCTCTGCTTGCTGTCCTACTGCTTTGCCCTGAACTGCCTGTGTTGCTTCTGTAACAATAGCTCTGTCTTTCTCCTATGTATTTCTTGTATAGCAATAATGCCATCTTCTTTTACATTTACTGCTAGCAGAACTACAAGTCAGCATCCTGTTTGCCTTCTTTATTGCAGCTGCATATGGGGCAGAAGGCTTTAGGGACTTTCATGCAATAATTCCCAAATCTTTTTCCCGTAAGTATACTGCAAGTTCAGCTCACTGAATTCAGAGCATTTCCATCTAGTTCCTACTTTTGTGATTTATTTGTGTTCCATTTCACCTCTCAGTAATGTTCATTTGTCCACTTACGCTCCCAAAGGGTTTAAGTAGTGTGATTTTTTTTGCTTTGTTCACATATGTTTTGCTTCAACTTAACATAAAGCCTACTTCAAAAGCCACCTTCTCCAAACTCCTAGCAGGTGAGGCATATGCAATTTATTTATATAACCAATTATTATGTTATGATGTACATATTTAGATACAAATTACCATTCTTATCGTTAAGAGAAAGCACTTGTGTGATTTATGGAAAATCTCTCATACACTCAAGGTGAGTAGTTCTACTGCTGCTATTCACCGCAGTGGAAACAGCTCTACAGGGCTATTCTGCTAATTCTGGAAAATACAGTAGAACACCTCTGATTAGCCACTTTTGCCATCTTTGTCAGTCATTGTTTTATCTCTCTTTTTTCCTCCATACCTGTAAATTATTTCCCTCTTTCGGACATAACTGTTAAAGGATACCTGCTGTTTCGGACATGCATTTTATTTATCTTACATATAATTTTGATTACAATTTATATATATATATATATATATATTTTTTTTTTTTTTAAATTGAAAAAACATTCAACTGCCTACAGTGGCAGACTTTATAAAAAGCGTTCAGCCAAGCAGTGTTCAGAAAGGTGAACGCCTTTACTCCAAGCATGTTTCCCAGCAGGGCTTTCCTTCAGACCCTGTTGTCAGGCACATCCCTGCTGTTTGCCTGGAACACCTGGGAGGTTGCAGTGGGTCACAGGGAAAAGTTGAGCAAACATTTCATTTTCAAGTGAACATTAGGATCTTTCAACCTTTGATGTAATTAGTGCCCATAGCTTAATTATGTCATTGCTACTGCAGCACATAGGATGCAGTAATGAAGCTCCCATGTAGTCACTATTGCACAAAAAAGACCTGGCTCTCTATGGGGTGAAGCAGACCCCTTACATACTTAGCTAGCCACTACAGTAAATAATCTACTTGTGGTTTCCAGAGAAGAACTGGGTTTTTCACTGAAAGGAAATAAAGATCGTTTGGAGACGAATGAAGAACTGTTTTTCCACTGAAGTCATCAGATCAGAAAACAAGGAATTAACTGTAAAGATAGTTTACTCTACCAAAAAAAAAAAAAAAAAAAAAAAAAAAAAATAACACGGTCTTGTAGAGAGAAGAGGAATGAATAGTACTGTGAACTGATCTGAACCATGGCTCGTTTCTGTAACATTTAGGCTTGAGACAGATGTAGTCTAGCAACCTATAAGCTGTCACATGTAGTCAGACTATGCCAAATTCACACCTGCATTTTTCTTCTAGTTGAAAGCAATTGTCATCTACAGGATTATAATACAGAGAAGTTGCCCAAAAAAGTCAGAACGTTCTCCCACCCATCTTTGTTGATTTCACTGGTCTTAATAGAAGCTCGTGGTTGTAGATATCCTTTCCTCTTGCTTTGTGACCCTAAAACACAATTATTTCTCCTATGATTTCCTGTGATGCCATCCTTGCTCTTGATTTTTTCCTTCCATCTTTCTTCACTTTTTTTTAATTTAATCAATGTTTGTTCTCTTTCATCAATGGGGACATTGTCCTCACTTATCCTATAAAACCACAAAACAAATATCTGAATTCAGTACAACGCTCAGGACCATTCTGCCAAGTGGAGACTGTTGTGTTTTCAATTGTCTTTGATGTGTTATTTTCATAGTTCTTCAGGACAAATCCATGAGTAGCTGTTCAGTTATTAATTTAATTTCTCAATTGTCAGAATCAATATCATAAATGCAAAAATCTCAAAGTGACCTCCTAGGAACAGGCTTGCAGTGTCATTTGGGTTCCCAGTTCCCTGGATGCCTTGTATTTGTCTTACTGATGTTAACTGTTCATTGCTCCACGTGTTGTAAACTCATCGCATGGCACATAGAACTGTAGTTGTGTTTGTAGCTTTTGTTATTTGGATATATTGTACATTCTATGTGTAGAAGTTAACTCCTTTGATGTGACTGTTTCTTGGCCACTATATTTATTCTGCAATGAAACTGAGTGGCATCCTCTATTGTTTTTTTCAGCCGGTAATATTAAAATAGAGACTCAGAGTGATGAAGAGAATGGGCGTGCCTGTGAAATGAATGGGGAAGAATGTGCGGAGGATTTACGAATGCTTGATACCTCTGGAGACAAAATGAATGGCTCACACAATGGCCCAGGCAGCAAGGCTATGTCAGGAGTTGGAGGCATTCGACTTCCTAACGGAAAGCTAAAATGTGATATCTGTGGGATAATTTGCATCGGTCCCAATGTGCTCATGGTTCACAAACGAAGCCACACTGGTAAGGCCTGGCATAGTTTTTCCTTTAGTTGACAAGAGTCGGACGCATATTAGGATCTAAGTCTTCTTTTCTGACTATCATGCACATGTTCCCTCTTGTAAGACAATGCAGCATCGGTGGGCATTTGGAACTTGGTTATTTTGTTATTGCATTTTGGACAGCACAGAAATTGAAATTTCTCCTTGATGAAATTCCAGCTATTGGGTTAGAAATTGGGAAAAACAAACAGACAAACCACAGTTTGCCAGAGTAATAGAAAATAGGCACAATTTCATTTATTCCAGTCAACAATTGTACATTATGCTGATAACAAAATTCATGCCTGAACAAATGTGTAGTTTGGCCTGAAGCTACATGAAAATTTCAAGTTTCAAAAAAACACAAACTCTTGTTTAATTGCTAAGAAAACTCTAAGAATTACTGGGAAAGAAAAAAAAAAAAAAAAAAAGTGTCCAACTCTGAAATTGACCCAGTTCTAATGTTTCCAACAGTGCAACAAAGTTCATTATGGATCAGAGATTATAAAAGTAATTGGAAAAATGAATAAGTAACTTAAAGTTTTAAGGGAATTGTAGCATTAGGAAAGAAGGGGTTAGTTTTATGTCAAGCGTTCCATAAAGTAAAAGCAAGCATTGTCACTGGTTAGATTTGGACTAAAAGGTTTCCACTGGGATGCTAAAAGAGACATGCAAAGAGGTTGTGCTCCGTGGTGATGGCTTTTCATTATCAAAGTACTGTGAATCTTGCCTCAATTTTCCAATTCTAAATAGTTTCAAAGATCACAAAATATGAAGAGGCTGAAACAAATGAAGACCAGGGTGACTCTCGTCTTACCTGAGTTTAGCTATTTAAAAATTTGGGTTCTAATCTAAATTCTGAGGACATCTACAGCTAAAAGAGAAGAGCTGAACTGTACTGTTGTGGTGTAAAAGTTACTTTGAAAACAAATATTCAGCAGTTTTGTGTATTCAGATGGCAGGAAAGAACAGATATCTCTATTGGGAAAGCCGTATCTAGTTCCTAGAAGAGGGCTGCAACATACCTCCTAGATATAACAAAAATGCTCTCTTAACATTGAATTTCAGTGGGATCCTTTGAAAGTTGATAAAATGTGTATGGAAAATGACTTGAACCTGAGGCCTTTCAAACAGACCTGCTATATTTTTGGTACAGTTTTGTAGTAGTTTAAATAAAATGTTGCAAAGCAGTTGTGAGGCAGAAGGCTTTGTGTCTGCTCAAGGCAAAGTAAGTTCTGGAGGAACGGAGGAGCAGGTCTATTCAGTGCAGGCAGAGCAGAAAATCAGTTCATAACTTGATAAAAAGATGACAAAATGAGAACAACAAACAGATGAACAGCATATATTATGTGTAGACACGTGTACATATGCGGAAATGGGAATGGGAAAAAAAAGGCCAAACTGCACTTGTCCCGGTAGTGAAAACCTGAAGGAAAGCATGTTCTGTGATGTTGTGATGGTCAGCAAGAATGTTTGTCCACAAACTATTCTGAACAGGTGATCCTTTGGGTGACAGCAAGTACCTCTGAGTGATGTGCAGTGCTGCTAGCTGAGCAGCACAGCCATGGCTAGCACTCTGCCTGCTGTAGCTGAGGAGCAGCTGCTTGAGGCTCCCAAACACCAGACACCATGTTTCACCAAGGCTGAGCAGCTTCAACAAGACACGGTTTTACACCAAGGCTGAGCAGCCTCAGCCTATTTTTTGCACACTGTGGCAGACGTGTCTCAGTGGGATGATCCGGGTTGCCTTCCCCCTGCCAGCCTCTCCGGGGGACCTGTCCTTGCTCCTGAAACAGGACTTCAGCTTCCAAAGCACCGTGCCTGGCCCAGCAATCCATGCACATGCCATATGGCCCAGGCAGTGCCTTGCAGGCCCTATCAGCCTGTAATTGTGGGGCCACTGGATCTTCTCGACTCCATGCAGCACCCTTCCCTTGCCAATAGGATCCTGTTAGTCAGGAAATGTGGTTAAAACCCAGAGAGCAAACACCTCTTTGTTCAACAGTACCTCCTTCTTTATCAGCAATTAAGCTAAGGGTTATGAAGTTGAATCCCTGAATCTTTCCATGGCAATAAAGCCTTTTCCTTCACTCCCGCCTCGCTCTCAGGCCGTACTGCAAGCAGCTCTGAGAGGAGCTATGCTTTTGAAGGAAGCGGAGGCTCAGAGCTGGCAGTTTAAATTAAAGGGACATCATGAGGTGACTGCTTTTCCTTTCAGTTGTGCTGAGAAAATTAATGTAGAAATGGGATACACTATTGCAGACACTTAACTGTCTACTCTGAAGCCCATTTCAATACATGCATGCCTGATGAAGGAATAAGCCTCACAAATGAATTACTTTGCTGCTAATTCATGTAAAACCTGCATATGCAGTGAGGCTTCCTTAAATAAATATTTGATAAGTGAACAAAACTCTAGCACACTGAAGTGCCAAAATAAAATGACTGCCTGACCTGATAAAAGCCATAATTACTTTTAATGAATACACCTGCCAAGTGCAGATATGCAGAGCAGCACCTGATATGTCTGCCCCTTCTCCCTGCCAGCAGCTGGAAGATGCTGGCTGCTTCCCAAGGCCTGACCTGTTGCTCCCAGCTGCAGGGCACACCCTGCTCACACACGTCCAACTCCATTGCTCATCTGGCCCAACTCTTCAATGTGCATGTTCCCTGGCCTGATGCTGCTTCTGCGATCGGTGTTTAGGGAAAAGAAGAGAGAAAACCCTTCCAGCCTCCTCCCATCACCTCAGCCTGTACCATATGTGTCATTTGTGTGCCTACTTGGACATATTTGTGTGTGCATATGTATGTATATTCCATCTTCATACACACACTCCTGTGGCACGAGTCACCAGTTAGTTCAGTTATGTCTTATTAGCTGGATCTGAATGTCTCAAATGTATTTAGAAAGTGAATGCCCCCTGAAGAATCGGTGTTTCTGAGCATTTGAGGAAGGAGGGCTATATGCAACTCTGAATGATTTTGTCATTATGATGCTTAAGAAATGAGATAGATTTCAATCAAGATGAGAAGTATTCTTCACTGAATAAGTAGTCCAGAGTTTCACTAAAGCTTGCAACCACGCATTGGTGGCTGATTCAGCTCTGGGCTCCATTTTCAGTTTTGCTCAAGGGGCAAAATTTGGGCCCCTCTCCCTCCATAGCTGCATGTCCAGATGTGAAATCCACCAAATGCAGATAAAGTGCTGTTCAGCAGGGCAAGAAAATAGCACACAAAGCTGGCAGGAGATGCATTATGCATTGTTAACTTCGTCCTCTCCCTCCCTCATTCTGGGATATCTCTACAACCAGTCGCCTTCCATCAAAGACTGGCTGGGAGCTCAGCTCCATGTAGTTTCAGAGACTTTCAGTGGGGATGCTGTTTCACTTGTACAGCAGCACAAGTCTAGGATCCCCTACATTTCATTCCATTTTGAAGAAAAGCTTGGTATGCAGCAGTCTCACCCAACATGCTCCATCTGCCTGTCTTCTCCACCCACAGTGTGAGATTTATCCTGTAATTAAGAGAGCTGTAGGCTGGACATATATTTCATTCTTACTTCAGGCACATCTCCTGGAGTACTTCTGTGATCCTTGTTCTCTCCTCTTAACACTTCTCTGATATTATTTTCTATTAAAAATAAAAGAAATGAATGCTAGAAAGAGTTGCCTAGTAAGAATTAGCCATTTCTTCTGAACGAGTCCCTCATTTCAAATTGTCTTCTTGATTTCTGTTTGGTCATGTTCTGAAAAATATCTGCCACACCGAGTAACTGCTGAGAGGTGGAGCACATCCTTGCCCATTTTCATTTTTCCCTAACTTCTGTACATGGCTTATTAAGTATAGAGAACATACCTGCAGGCCGCTCCAGATGAACCAACTGTGAATGTCATTTAGATGAATCCATTTACCTGCTGGACAAAGCCAGTGACCTCATTGGGCTGGACAAGGAATGGGGCTGTTTGACCAGTGAAAGTATTTTGCCATAAAGAAGGCTAATCTCTCTGTTGGCTGCTTGCTAAAATTGCCAGCCCTGATCATAGTTGGCAGCTGTTTGTGTTGGGACTGTGCTGCTATCTAATTGCTTTCCAGCTTTTCTTTTCTGTTATCCAAAAGTAAAGAGCTGTCATGCTGCACGTGTATGGGCATACAGGTAGATCCTAGATGTCCAGAATAAAACATGATGGTTAAGTGAGAAAGAAGGAAGGAACTGTTTAACTTGTATTTATTTTGTGCATAGTTTGACTTCAGCACTGAAATTTTATAGTCAGTATTATTGCTGTATTTTTAAAAAACGGCATGTCATCTCTCAGCATTTTCTAATATCATTGATGAATTATAATTTCTAAAGCTAATTACATTTATGCCAAAGAAAAATAGAATTCAGTAAATGATTTTCTAAGGCTGGTTTTACTCAGGCAAAGACTACATCATAAGAGAATTGGGCATGCAAGAGTAGATCCTGATAATGGAGTGCTCTCATGTTTAAATTTTCCTGTATTGCTGTCCTGTACTGCTGGAAACATAAGAGACTGTATTTCCCGCTGACTTAAGGCCATGTCTAGCTGAAATCAACTGTCAAAAGCCAAGGGAATAAAATCACTCTAAAACAGCATTAAAAAGCAAATAGCAGCCATGTAAATTTTTTTTTGCAAAGGCCACCTATTTTGCAGGCACCCATTTAGACAAATCAAGTCTGTGACTTCGCATTTTTCCCTATGCCTTTCCCAGGCATGGCCTAGGAGAGCCCACTTCTATGACTTCTCTGCCGAAAGAGAAGCTGGGAGTCTCGTGTGGAAGTGCAGGGCTTTTTCTGCACTGTTTCAACTTACGTGATTTTACTCTCTCTCTTTCTCTCTCTCTGTCTCTTTCCTGATTTGGCTGCTTAGGGACAGACAGGTAATGGAGAAGAAATTGAAAGGGAAAATACAGGGAAAATGTAAATGAAAAGAAGTTATTATAACTGTTATAATGAAGTGCCTTTCATTTAAATATAAGAATGTAACGCTGAAATGAACTTGTGATCCTGAAATGCATTTTTAATGAGTTTCCTTTTTATTTTGCTGCTTCAGTGGCATATTTTAAAGACCCTTTGAAAAAAGCCACATTAAAAACCCCACCAAATGCCACAACATGCAAAATTGGATATTGGTTTATTCCAAAACTGCTGATCAGGAAGAGTGGCTCTTCAACACAAAATGTTGCAGTCACTTTATTTAAATGAGTTTGAATTTGCATTGTGATGTGCCATTCTGATTTAGAAAAAAAAAAATTAGATTTTCAGATCAAATTGACCCAGCCAGTGAAGCATTAAGAAACTGGCAGGTTTAGTCTGAAAGCCTCATGTTATATCAAACCTGCAGCCGGTGGAAGTCACAGAGCAGCAGGGAGAAAACAACTTTTTTTCACTGAAATCTTTCTCTTGTTCCTGTGCAGGATTTTTTGTTCTCACACATTTCCTCCTTCTCCCCTCAGGAGAACGCCCTTTCCAGTGCAATCAGTGCGGAGCCTCCTTCACGCAGAAGGGCAACCTCCTGCGCCACATCAAGTTGCACTCGGGTGAAAAGCCCTTCAAATGCCACCTCTGTAACTACGCCTGTCGGCGCAGGGATGCCCTCACAGGCCACCTGCGGACTCACTCTGGTAAGTGAGGGTATGGGCTTGCCTTACGGTGCTCCTGAACCACAGAGTGTGTATGGGGGTGTTGATGGCCCCAGTCATAGAGTCATAGAATTGCTCAGGTTGGAAAAGACCTTAAAGATCATCGAGTCCAACCACGACCTAACCATACTACCCTAATGCTAACAACCCTCTGCTAAATCATGTCCCTGAGCACCGCATCCAAACGGTTTTTAAACACATCCAGAGATAGTGAGTCAACCACCTCCTTGGGGAGTCTATTCCAGTGCTTAGCCACCCTTTCTGTAAAGAAGTTTTTCCTGATGAATTGTGAGAGGTCTTCTTACGCTGGGAAGGTCAGTGGTTGTGCGTCAGCATCAGCCAAGCAGCGAGCCGGCCGCACTGCTGTAGCTGCACAGAAATGACTGAACTCTGCTTGCAGTCATGGTCCTTCCCCAGAAATGTTTTTTTCCCATAATTCTTGGCCAATTAGAAATTTCTGTATTAGGGTTTCATCTCACACTGCATGTGAGTAATCCATTTCATGGAACTACTAATTCAAAGCTGCTGAAATTTTACGGTTTGGATGACATTTGTCTGCATACACAGATAACAAAGGGTCTGAACACAGTGGGCTTTAAGTCATGAAGTCTCAAAAACATTCCGTCTGGTAGTCATTACTGGTGTAAGGGGTGAACAACCTACTACACCTACAACATTTAGCAGCAGTTATTTGTTGCACTTGGTTATTATATATATTATATATCTTTGGTTATTACAAAAACATTGAAAGAAGAAGGGGGAGAAAGAGGGAGAAGGAGGGAGATAAGAATCTTCCAGAAAAGAGGACTCCACTAGAAATTTTTAGTGTTTTCTCTTAACAGTAACACAAAGATCTGAATAGATATTCTTCGAATAGATGCATTTTTCCAATATTATTAACCTCGGTGTTTAACAAAAGCCATAGTCACATACTTCCATGAAGCAAAACCAACCCAGCAACAATAAATCACATTAAAAAGAAGAGTGTAGTCTCACCTAGTTTCCCAAGCTAGGATGGAAATGCAAATTGGATAGGAGACCTCCAAGAAGCATGGCTGTAACTGACACTAGCAAATTTACATGTGAAAGTTGGCTTTAGAGCTGTAGTTTCAAGCTGTGGAAGGGAAGCTCTCAAAGCAGAATTTCTGTGTTATACAAAACTAAGGAAAATCTTCTAGCACACATTAAATGATAGGAACCCAAGGGTTGCTTCCAGAGATCCAAAATAGTTTCTGCTTGTTCTGTGCAGTTTCATTCTGAGTCAGGAAAAGTACACATTTAAATTTTCTAATTTGCCTCCCTCCCCCTTCCTGATTTTAGTTACTGTGCACCTTTAATCCTTTCATATATACACTACACCTTAACTCTTTCAGCAAATGCTTAGGATTCCACAGCAAAAAGACAAAGCATAAAATGAAGATATTTATTGGTTCCCGTCATTAGCAAATTGACACAAATACATTAAAAAACAAATTTGATGCCTGAGTCTGATTTCCACCTGAGAATTTGTATACAAAATTCAAAAGCTTAGCTGCGTAACCATCTAAAGCCATGACAGACTTTTCAAGCTAAGACAGAAAATACAGGCCCCAAGGTCCACATGACTATGAAATTCCTGGAATTGCTTGAATCTGGATGGGTGAAAAACAGAACTTTTTTTTTTATGCCCTTTGTTTGAATTTCCTGGAGTAGAGAGCAAGAAAACATGTGAAATCTAACATTGTTCTAAAAGAGCTGAGCTGATTCTTGTTCCAGCAGAACTGACATCCAGTCATGGGCAGGTGCGTGCCCACAAAAACCGTGCTCATTGCAGGTCTTCCTCATGCACAGCCTCTATTGGAACCAGGCTTTAAAGTAACTTTACTCAGATCTTTGAAAGTGTCTCAGTTTCTAACTTTTGTAGATGTCATTTGTGAAGATTCACTGTTACGGTCCTTATCTGATGTGAATAATCTGAAATAAGTTTGCAGCACCCACAGCACTGGCCTGCTGATGCAAAGATGTGCAGCTAGTTTTCCATTATTATTCTTAAATATGGGAAAAATAATTATCCATTTAATTTAATGTTAATGAGATTCTTTTGCAGTACTTTTGTGCTTTTTTTCTTTTCCTGTTAGTCTTACCGTTATTAATATGGTGTTGCATCCCTCATGTGAATATCTCGTTTTGTTTTCTCCAGTTGGCAAACCCCATAAGTGTGGATACTGTGGTCGCAGCTATAAGCAGCGCAGCTCTTTGGAAGAACATAAAGAACGCTGTCATAACTACCTGCAAACCATGAGTATCTCAAGCAACCTTTATTCAGGTAATAAAAGTACCCATTTGGGGATTAGCACTGTTCAGTCATGTACTCAGAAAAAGGATTTCAGAAGGAACAGCTGTACCACTTGTGGCATCTTTTCTGTTGGAGAGGCAGAGTGTGATGCATATACACGCGTATCACCATCTGTGTGATACTGCATCTGGATTTATTCTATATTTGATAAATGTTTGGCTTTTCTCATTTTGTTCAGCACAAATAAAAAGCCAAAGTGAAAGTCAGGTACCTAATAAACATTTGCCAGACCTGGAATATTTCAGTTCGCTATCTCAATACCAAACATAATTTCATCACTTCTTGGTTTTGCTTGGAGTCCTGTTTTGTCAGTACTCTTGTGGATGTGTTCTTAATGAGTTAGTATTAGTGGTTTAGGTACGGCTCCAGAATCTCCCGCAGTGCTTATCTCCTGCCCATCCCAGGTACAGCTTGATGGGCTTACTTGACCTCTGTCACCAATGCATACATCAAGAATGAGTCATATCTGCCATTGATCATCTGTCATATCTGTCTTTGATTTGACTCTTCCAAACAAGAGTGCAGGAAGCCAGAGGGATTTAACTTAGCCAGTCTGAGTCCAGAAAGGATAACAATTTATTAGCAGCCTTCTTTTAAAACTTTTCCATTTCCATCCAATTTTAAATTCTCTTAAATTCCAATCTCTTAGTGAGCACAGAGTATATAAAACTATACTCAGAAATAAAATAAAAAGATGTTGGGGATTGGATTATTTTAACAAAGATACTAAAGATCTGTACAAGATTGATGGCAGAAAGAAGTCACATGCAATTTTAAATAGAGAATATAAAACAGCATCCGTGGTGGAGCTTCAGGTTATAGCCTATCGAGTAAGTTACATTTCTTGCACACCTTTTTCATCTCATCAGCATATATTATTCAGTTTGTCAAATGACAAAATGGAAGGTTCCCTCTGACTTTGAAATGATGCCTCATTTAATACCTTATATCTGGACAGAACCTGAATATGTTTTTACATGCTATCAAATAATGTAAAGTATATGCACATAATGATAACAGCAAATGCAGCTGAGATACTTCTGGGAGACAGCATATTAGAGCAGTGTTCCTTCTAATTTTGTTGAGGGGCTGGAGCATGTATAAATAGAAAAGCTCAAAGTAATAATACACAGTAGGCAGAATACTTAACCACAAAGAAGTGATAGGATTTAAAAGGAAATTTTCTTCCTCAAGATTCACATTTTTTGTATCTGGCATTGGATTTGAAATGCTGGCATGCAACACATGAAAATCAACATGAATGAAAAGCTGCACTAATATTAAATACTTAAGTAAAAATGTGCATATGAAACTGATGTGTGGAATCAGAAACTATAATGAAAAACAATATCACTTCAGAGATAAGTAGATGTTTTTTATATAGCAAATCACGACAGAAAAGATTTTTCAGTAATTTAGGACTGAATATCAGATATCTCATTGGGATGAATACTTGGGGTATTCATAGACACTTTGGAAAGATGCTTTCCTACCACATTCTGAAAGCATCACAAAAATCCATCTTAGATATAATAGGGGTACTCTTGCAATTTAGAAGAAAAGTACAGGATTAACTTCTGGCTTTCGCCCTTGTGTTCTCCCAAAGATTTCACTCTTAACAATTGAATTAAAATTATTAGCACTCACTCGGATAATAAATCAGTTCTTTATTTTTCCAAACTTAAAACTTTCCAGTACTTTTCCCAGTATTTTTCATTGTAAAAAAGTTCTTTTATCTCACTGCGAACAGGGTAGTCCTGGGTGTACTTTGCAGTCTTTACATTTTTTCCATTATAAACTCAAGGTTGAAAACATGCATTGAAACAGTTCAGAATGAGCGCCTGTCCTCCTGGAATTTTTCGTACATTCTTGTTTATAAATAGAAAATGAAGCAGTTATGTTATCAATGTTCTTCTGGTATGTCAGGGCATGATATGGAGCTCTTAAAGCCTTTTCTTTTTTGCATACTCAAAAATATCTTCTAAGGCATCTGATTTGATACTCTGCTACAACAGATGACTTTTAACAGCATTTTTTAAATACGTCATGCAGAAAAAATAAGTCAGTTGAAAAGATCTAAACTAATAAAAGCTTTCCATCAACTTGTAAATCTTATAAATGTTATCGGCAAATCATTTGTGCAAGGGAAAGATCCAGCAAAGGAGAGTAAGTAGGGTGGCAAGAAATTGTATTTATATTTTAATAGTTTTTTACTGTGTTTAAAAGAAAGAGTGTCAGCATGAAATTAGGAATATTCTGAATCTAATGGCAAAATTCTTACTTTAGAGGACTAGAATTTCACTGGTCATGTGAAGTTCTTCTGTTAGAGATATTAACTGGATTTTTGCAGTTGAGTTGAGTGGAAGCATGCAGAAATCTTATCAGGCCTATGTAAAAACACAGAATCATAGAATGGCTTGGTTTGGAAGACACTCCAGAAACCATCACGTTCTAATCCCTGTGCCATGGGCAGGGCTGCGGCCCACCAGTTCAGCTGCCCAGGGCCCCATCCAACCTCCCCTAGAGCACCTCGAAGGATGGGGCACCACAGCTCCTCTGGGCAGCTGTGCCACTTTCACGGTAAAGAATCTCCACATCTTATCTATTCTAAACCTGACCTCTTTTAGTTTAAAGTGATTCCCCATTGCCCTATCACTACACTCTCTGATAAAGGGTCCCTTTCCAGATCTATTGTGAGCTCCTTTTAGGTTTGGAAGGCTGCAGTGAATTCTCCCCATAGCCTTCTCTTCTTCAGGCTGAACAAGCGCAGCTCCCTCAACCTCTCTTCACAGGAGAGGTTCACCAACCCTCTGACCATCTTTGTGTTTCTCCTCTGGACTCAATCCACTTGTAGATTTTCACTTGGAAAGATAATTTTTGATTTTCACAGGCAGCAAACAATAGCAAAATATTTATCAGATTGCAGAGAAATTTCCCGGGGGTTCAGTTGCAAAGGCTGGAAATCAGTGTTTAATTCAACTTTATCTATCTATCTATCTATCTATCTATCTATTTATTTAATGTCTAAGTTTTAAAAATTATAATGTGGAAAGATTGAGTGAAATTGAAGACATAATTTACACACTCTCAAAATATCAAAAGTGGACTCTTGTAATATCTAAATATTATAAATAATACATACATTTCTCAATTCTGTCATCTTTATAACTACATAGGTCACTCTTAAAGTAATATGTTCTATTTATTTGCATGGAAAATACAACAAAGAGTGCAACACCATTTGATAGAACAAATTATCAGCTACATAACACCACTAATCAATTTAGTCAACACCATTAGCTATTTATTTTTGCCAGCCATGGACAAGTGCCTTCATGCTACGTCATAAAATTGTGCACTAGAGGAGATGACCCACTGTCACCATGGCCACAGCTGAAATGCACCACCCACCACCTCACTGTGCTCACATCCACTGTTTGTTCTCCCTAAACATTCAGCAAGCATCCATGAATGTCAGTGTGTGCCATTTTTTCCACCTCAAGGAACTCACTGCTTGTAATTCATATGCGCCTCCATGTCATACACCATTTGTCTGACTGCCCCTCTCTGCCATCTGTCACATGGAAATAAAATGGACTGGAATATTGGTGGGAACATCCAACCTCTACTGCCATATCACCACCATCTGCCTCTGACGTTGTAGAACATTGTAATAAAACAGGAGGCATTACTTTGAGATCTTTTTTTTTGTTTGTTTCCTCTGCTAAACTGTCTGCTTTAAGCATTCTCTGTAAGATCCTTCAGAGTTGTACTTACAAGCATTGGCCAGCCCAAGAAGCTAGCACATGCTGGTGACTAGATACCATCAATGCCCTCCAGTATCCTGCATCCTCACAACAAAATTCTGATCTGTCAGTCACAATCTTATTGCATCTTTATGGCATCATTATATGTCTCTGTAATATGTTCTGCTGCACCAGCAAATCAAGAACCACTTATGTGCTCTTCTACTTGGTAACATGTCATCTTGGACACTTTACTTGCTTTTTCCAATTATGCAGTAGAGCCTGACATTGCATATTTCAGAGGCAATGAAACTTCCACACTCTTGCTTTTATGGCAGTGCTGTGTTGCCAAAATAACATTGCATTTCTCTGGATATTAAAAAGCACCCAGGCACCAGAGTAATGGGTCCTGTGAAACTTTCTCAGATCTAAGTAGAATAAATCCCAGTGATGAAGTCACAACAAGCAGAAAAGGTGAAATGTAGCAGAGTGCTGCACCTATTTGAAAAAGCATGCAGAATCCAAGTCTAAGTATTTTGCTTCTCCCTTTAATTCTGACTCACAACTTCAGGAAAAAAGAAATATCCCAGTAACAGATAAAAATAAAATTAACCCTTTTCCTACTTTTCTGGAGAAAAAAGAAATAAGAAAAAAGAAAAGCTGAGATCTCATTCTGTATTATGTTTTCCTTGGATGCTGGAAGACAGAAACAACACCTTTGCATATATTTTTTATAGCCTTTATTTTGAAAGTTTCCTCATAAAAACACTGAAGAGAAAGGTAGCTAAAGTGAAATAGTCTCCCTGTTCTAGAGCTGCACAGCTAAGCTCCTCCCTAATCCTGCAGTGTCTTTAGCCACTGCACAAGGCTGGAAAACAGGCCTGACTATCAGACATCGATGCTCCACTGTAGATGTAGCCTTACTGATTTAGCTAAAATTGTGATTTACATTCAAAAATTGCATCAGAGAAGTATAATGATAGATACGGGGTGAAAGGAAGATGTATGTCTGGGGGATGTTGGTGTAGTTTGCAACTATGTTTTCCACTACTGGAGTTGAGAAATTTGTCCATTATTCCTGCTAAAGAAGCAACAATCACATAGGCTGTGACAGGTGGGGTGACAGCAATAGGACGAAAAGATGAACTGCTTCATATCCATTATAAATCTATTATTATTATTCAATTCTATGATTCTATGCAGAGGGCTGTTAGGGTAGTACGGTTGGGTTGCAGTTGGACTTGATGATCTTTAAGGTCTTTTCCAACCCGAGCAATTCTGTGCTTCTAGGATAATATTAGGACCTCATTCACCCGTGGCCATGCAGACTGGGTGTAGAACAAGGGTGGAATGATTATGCTACATACAAGCAGATGCCTTGCAATTACAGTCTCTTTTCTGTATCCTAAATGAGGTTGAAGGAAACATGAACACGTGTATAGATGAGTCAGTGTAAGGGGATTTGTTACGAAGAGTGAGAATTGACCTCTGTCTGCAGTGGTGAGCTCCTTGTTCCAACTGGTTAAGAGCTTAAAGACATTAGCTAAGAAACACTAAACTGAAGACAGTGGTTCCATTAAAATGGAACAAGTGTGCCTAATCCTTCTGATGTCATTTGATTTCAGTCATAAAAGAGGAAACTAACCAGAGTGAAATGGCTGAAGACCTGTGCAAGATAGGGTCAGAAAGATCCCTCGTGCTGGATAGACTAGCAAGTAACGTCGCCAAACGTAAGAGCTCTATGCCTCAGAAATTTGTTGGTAAGAGTTAAAAGTTTGCTGTCTCCTAAAAAATAAAACAAAATTAAAAAACAAACAAACAACCAAACAACAAAGCCCTCACAAGATTTTCACTTTTGCTTTATGATATTGTTTTACTAAATTAGCGATATTTATCTGTATATCAGCAGATATGGCAAAATGTTGGGGGAAAAAAAACAAAAACACTACCAAACTTCTAAATTATATATTTCTACAGGTTTAATTTTACACATCTGGAGATCTATTTTAAGTCTCCTAATCTGCCTCTTAATGCTTATGAACCAGATCTTCCCAAAATCAACACAGGTTCCTGAAGCTGCCTTGAGAACCTGAAAATGGTCTAAGAAATAGAATTTCCTACTGGGAAAGTATTTGACCATACTTTCATGATTATTTTATTAACTTCTTAAATGATCTCCAGATCAGGGCATATTGGTATATGTGGATTAATTTGTGAATTGTTCAACCTTTAAGAAGTCTGTACAATTTTATGGCCCAAAATGATAATGAAAATAAATGTATATAGTTCTGAGAATACCTAAACGAAAATATGTTTGTGTATATTCTAAGAGTAGTGCAAAAATGTCATGGCCATTTGCACCTAGTAGTTGTGTTAACAGTGAAAACGTGGAGGCTACACCTGTTTTATTCTTATAAGCCTTGTAGCAATTAATGGTTAGATCAGGTCTTTAACAGTCAAACCCACAGACAATATCAGCCATGCTGGGTTAGTATTAAATGAATAACAAGATGGGGGATCAGACAACAGCATACACTCTTTTGATTTACTTGCAGATCTACTTTTGATTTTCTTGTAATTTTCTGGACATTTATATATAATATTCTTCTGTAGTAGACAGAGAAAACTGAAGTCTTTGAAAAAAAAAAAAACGTTAAGAAGGTCTTCAGTCAAAAGTCAAGGCCTAGTCAAGTCAAAGCTAGACAAGTTTACGGGACAGAAATTCAAAATCTACATCCTTCAAAGAGGACACAAGGATAAATGGAAACTTAGTTTTTCCGAGACAAGAGAAGGAGAATTTCAGCTATGGCTGGAACAAAAAATAGCAATGGAAGGCCAGCATGTCCAAAGTCAACTTTGCAGGAGGTGGTCAAGGATAAGAAATGATTATGCTTACATAGGGAAGGACAAACGAAGTAGCAGAGGTAGTTACCAAAATTATATCCACTGTGTGCGGCAAACCAGATTCGTTCAGACACCCTCATTGCTGATTGTATTAGGCAAAAATACTAATTCTGTGAAAGCTCCAGGAAGACCAGAAGTGTTAAAATTTCAAAGGTATTAGCAAGAATCCTACGTGCAATATATCAGTGGGTGTGGACTGTTTCTTTCATTCTCTTTTTCCCTCTTCACCCTGAGAAACAGTAAAGACAACCAGTTTAACTATGAGTCTTAAGAGAGCAGTTTCCTGTCAGTTCGTTATTCACGGTGCAATGCAGGAAGACAACATGCTGACAGTAGATACTTAGGGAAAATTGCTAATCTTGACAAGGATGAACTTTTTTAGCAAGAAAATGCCCCCCAGTCTTTTCCTTTCCAATCCTCACCTACTGCCTCACGTAATAGGTAAATTCCTGATTAACACAAGGTTGGGCTATCTGGTTAGGGTAATAAAACATGTTTATTGCTCCTGTAGATTACTATGTCATCTCAATCTCCATGCTGAATCCCAGGATTCCCAAATGGAATTATATTTGCCTAAGGGAAAGATTGTCTGCTGTTTCACTCATTGTTCTAAATGTTCTAAAAACTAAATCCATTACCTTTCAAATGTGAGATTGTTCACCGCATTAAACTAGTTATCTGTAAAAATCTTTGACAGCAAAAGTCTGCATGAAGTCCTCTATGTTTTCTAAACTGGAATAACTCCAGACCTGAAAACAGAACAGGGCCTTCCATACTAGGCAATCAGAACTACAAGTGAGATGCACACGTTTATCATGTTTGTAACAATAAGCAGCAAAGGAAACCAAGGAGAGGAAAAATAAATAAATAAACAAATAGAGAAAAGCCTGCATTCACTGGATGCATATGTGTTACTATTTAAATACTTGCTACAGAAACCTGAAAAGTGCAAAGCTTGAAGTGCATCAAACCATTAGCAGTTTAATTTACTTATGCTCTAATAACCACAGAAATGAGTTATTATTTTTAATGAGTGCCAGTATTATCTGCATTACCCAGATGTAGAAATGATACCTGCCTGCCTCAAGTTTGGGTATTTTCAGACAGCTCTGATCATATATTTCTTATGGGCACTTGATCCTGTCAGTGCAACTACCAACTAGTTATGCTACATAAAGCAAATACTACCCAAGAAACTGCTATTAAAATTATATCTTCCAGATCCCAAAATTTTGTGTATAATAAAAACCAGTTCAGCTTTTCAGTGGTACACAGTGTAAATGGAATACAAACGATTTTGACTTTCTTTCTTCCCCTATGAATTAAGGGTATATGTTCACATTAGGAGATTTTTTTCTATGTATCATTCAAGGGTCTTTCACATCTCCTATTCTGAATCTTAGGAGTCAAAAACTGCCTGAGAACTGTAGCATTAGAATGGGTAAATCTGATATACATGCATATATATATGCACCACATTAGTGGGGTGCTCAAGTTGGCAAAATGATGGGGTAAGGAAACAAAAAGAAGCAGGAGTTTGTGCAGTACAATTAGAAAGTGTCTGTACATCCCTCATAGGAACTTGTGCAATGCCAGCAGTGTTTCTTTCTCTGCTTACATAGCATGCACAAACCAGTACGAAACCGTGTATCGTGGGAAATGCTGACAGTAGGACTTTCTACAGTTGAGGCCCATTATTGCCAGAAGTTTTCTAGGCTATACTCTTGTTCTTCACTGACTTTCCCTGTTCAAGATGAATAGAAACTGGGTGGGAAATCACTGAGAAATTAATCTGTGGATCTTCTGGTAATTTTTCCATGTTCCTAGTAATGTTTATTTTAGTCAAATTAGGATACATTTGATGATGCCATTTATATTTTGGGAGCTTCAGGAAAAAGGAGGGGAAAATCTAAGGTCTACAAGCAAATGCTGTGTTGATCAGGAAACGGTGACAGCACTACAGACCTCACAGAGATGTTTGTGGCTTTCACTGAATTTCCCAAGACTTCTTACAGAGTGAGGAAAGACATCCAGACTGTAGCTAATGTGGTACTGTTAGTTCCTAGGAATCTATGGGATTTTTTCATTTCTCTGTTGTTGCCCACATTTATTATGGGCCTCATAATGCTGATGGTTTAAAGCAGTGTTTGAGAAAACTGTTCATGTTCATAAAATCAGTGCCCACGACTCAATAGTTTTTCTCACTCCTAACTTTCTACTCTATGCTTTTTTTAATCCTATTCGTCCGGGAATTTTGAGAGATTGTCATATTCAGTACTCCAAGTGGGGCTATCCAGAAAGCAATACATCAGTGTAATCCAATTTAAAAAAAAAAAAAGTCTCCCATAGCTTTGTCTTCCCAAATCAGAATCAGTAACAAGTAATCGTGTTCTTCCCCTGCCTTTCTATGTCATGGGAAAAATGTCTTCCAACTATGAATGCACTTACAAATTTTCCTTAGTTCTTTTTTCTTGTACACTATAATTTTTTTCAAGGAGAATCTGGAGCTTCTCTAAATGTGTCTAATGTATGGCTTGTTTAAAAAAACAGGTGTGGGGGGAAGGTTGCAATACTGAAAATTTAATTTTTATTTGTTTCTGTGGGAAATTACATATGAGAACATTCATGATATGGGTTGTTTGTAAGAAATTGAATATTTAAAACACACATTTTCTACTCTAAAATCTTAACATTTTGGAAAAAAAAAATGATGATGTCCTTCATGCAGTGAAACATAAAGTCCAGGCTCCCTGTAACTGTGCTGGTACACTTAGCCACAAAGGCATGCCCCAGTCCACTGCTGGAGTCAGATGAGGGAGTCCAGTTAGAAAGGAGAGGATGAAACACTCAATCTACAGCTCCCACAAGTCCCCATATATCTGTCTTCTCCTACTTGCTTTTCCAGAAACCTCAGATTATTTTTGCAGGTTAAAAAACGAACCAGTTTTCTGACCAGCTGTATTAGAAAACTGTGAGTACTATAGGTGAATTTCAAAGGTGGATTCTATCAACTCTTGTATTTCATGTTGGGGTTTTTTTTGGTTTGTTTTGTTTTTTTAAAACATGGCATTCATTTCCTTAATTGTGTAGAAATCAGTTGTCTAACTCCTGACTGTTTTTCACTGCAGGTGAGAAGTGTCTGTCTGATCTTCCATATGATGCCACCACCAACTATGAGAAGGAGAACGAGATAATGCAGACCCACGTCATAGACCAGGCCATTAACAATGCCATCAGTTACCTGGGGGCAGAGTCCTTGCGTCCCCTTGTCCAGACTCCTCCGGTTGGTTCTGAAGTGGTGCCCGTCATCAACCCCATGTATCAGCTCCACAAACCTCTTGGGGACAGTCAGACTCGCTCCAACCATACAGCTCAGGACAGCGCAGTGGAAAACTTGTTGCTGCTCTCCAAACCTAAATCAGTCTCCTCTGAACGGGATGCCTCTCCCAGCAACAGCTGCCAAGACTCAACAGATACGGAGAGCAATAATGAGGAACGCAGTGGTTTAATTTACTTAACAAACCACATAGGTCCCCATGCAAGAAATGGCATATCTATAAAAGAAGAAAGCAGGCAGTATGATGTCTTAAGGGCAGGTACTGACAATTCCCAGGATGCTTTCAAAGTGATCAGCAGCAATGGGGAGCAAGTGAGAGTTTACAAGTGCGAACACTGTCGAGTCCTTTTCTTGGATCATGTGATGTATACAATCCACATGGGCTGCCATGGGTTCCGCGACCCTTTTGAATGCAACATGTGCGGCTACCACAGCCAGGACAGGTATGAATTTTCTTCCCACATAACTCGAGGAGAGCACCGTTTCCACATGAGTTAAAACTCCTCGGGCACAGCTCCAGTCTCAACAACTACATTACTGCAGCTGCACAAGCAACAACAGCAACAAAGCACAAGACTAGTGGACAGTAAAAGTACAAGAAAATCAAAAATTCAGATATATTCTCCCACAAGGAAAGATTTTTCTTTTGGTAGCATGTGTTGCAACTCAGTTTTCTAAAGTGAATATTAAAGTTTTTACTGAAAGCATTTGATCACGAAAACCTTTAGTAATGTATGTAGGAGCTTTTGTAGTCAGATAGCTGAAAGTCCTTTCCTTAACTGATGCTTCTTGCAACCCTCCCTTGCCAAAACTGCTACCCACGCACAGAATGCACAGCGTGGATGTGAACATGAGGCAGGAATGGCCTAGCTTTCTCTCTTAACACCCTGCATACAGGGTTCATGCACCAGATGCATTTTTTTAACTTCCAGGTTTTATTTGAATCATACAGAAAGATTAAACTCAACTAAAGATTGAGGGCCCAGCCATCCCACTTGACTTTGCAGACAGCTGGGGTGGGACTGGAACCCAACCACAGGGTCCAGGGTTACTTTGGCAGTAAAAAGTAGAACATTTCCACCTGCAAGGGTGCTGTTGGAATTGACATTGTGGCATGCCTTGTTTGTGTCACTAGGCACACGAGCAGGTATGTGGAAGATATAAGAAACACCCTTGTAAGGGTACTCTGTGAAGTATGAATTGCATTTAATGTATAGAAAAGAATATTGATGGCTCTTCCTTAAACAAATGTTTTCCCTCCCTATTCAATAGAACCCCACTTACTGTTAAGAAACTCCTCCTCTCTCTGCAGAAACAAGTTACAATGTATTTAATTTTTCTTTTTTGAGTTTTAGTTATTTAGAAGAGTATAATGTACAGTTGAGAAAAGCACTAGCTAGAAATACATGTGGGGAAAATTCTCCTTATGCACATTTCTCATTTTTTTATACTGTCTGGAAAATACCCAAATATCCCTATATTTTACCTTTGAGAAATTCCCATTCTGCTTCCACGGATGACGTCTTGCAGATTTTGTGGCTCTATTTGTGTTGTACTTAATTATTTGTAAAACACCGAGCTGAATTAAACCAGCTAGTCAACATTCGTAGCCTCCTTCCTCTTTCCTGGTATTTGCTATTTAAGGAGGGATCAGTCCCTCAGTGGTAGCCTCTTTGCAAATGTGCTAAATACGTTGGCTTCTTGATTAGCAAAACATTCAGAACGCACTTGGAGCTAATGTTAGGGTTAAAAAAAAAACCTGGTGTTTTGCTGAATGGAGGGCAGAGAATGCAGTACTTTGCAGAGTCCAGGAAATTCACCACAGCTTTCTCCATGGTGGATTCTGCTGCAGATACTGTAACTTCAGTTAGAATAAAAACTCCTCCAAGAAAAACTTTCTAACCCCAAACACAGCTGATGTGAAAAAGTACTTTAAAAAACTGAAGTTCCTCTTCCAAATAGTTCATTCCTCTCCCTAAACACCCTCATAATATGAAATTGATCTGAAATGAAAATTTTACAGCTGCACCAAAAGAACTCTAATTGGTGCTGCAATACTTTCTGGGCATCATTCCTAAAAACAACCTACCCAATTAACTGAATGTTTAAATCCTTTCATTCCTTATAATAAATGTATATTCTCCACTTAAAAAAAAAATAAAAAAATCATGTAACCCACAAGTTTATCTGCCTTGTAATACAGTCACATGTTCTCTCACAAGTGCAAGCACACGCATGATTATAAAAGAGATTTAATGGAACCATGAACACTTGTACCTTGGGCAATTTGGCCTGATATGCATAGTTATATTTAATACACAGTTCTATCGTGGACACCCAGTTCCTCCTTCTGCTTTCACTTTTGCAGGTGTAAGTCAGGAGCAATACCACAAAAGTTAGAGGAAAAACACTGATGAAATAATGAATTATAAATGCATTCTTTTACACTCTTCATATGCTGGGTCTGCACAGCAATGGTCGGACACATGCACAGTAGTATTTTTACACTGTGTGTGCATGCAAGTATGCATGGTGAGTAGCTGTATTACCAGAAGCGAATGCTGTGTAGGGATGTCCATATGCTGATGCACACACCTACAAAAGTGAAAGCAAACTATATAGTACTTCAGGTAGTAAAAGCACATACAAAATATCCAGTGCCCCCCTCCCAAACCTTAGTAACGTAATGTACAGGTGCAAAGCTGAGCGCTCCCAACACCCTGTTTTAGCTCAGTCACGAGACCTGGCTGCTTGACACCTTACAGCCCAAGCTGGCTGCAGGCACTAAAGGATCGTGGGCCACAAGCGTGGGTTTTGTCAGCACGTCTGATACGTGTTCAGTTTCAAGACAAGCCTACATGTGGCAACAAGGTAAAAGGTGCCATCACTTACGTACTTTGTGTAGGGATGACCTGAAGAAGACCTTCAAGGGAGAAGCTTACGCTGATGATGGTTTCATTTGTTTTTGTTGTAATTGGGCTATTTCAATAAAGTTTAAGAGGGCTCATTTTTTCTGCAGTTATTTGGCATATATATTCACCCACTCTTGTCCCTCTCAATCTTCAACTGATCCAGACTAAGAAGGGACAAAGTAATTTCTTAGCTCTTGGATGTCATTTGTGTAGAGTTATGACTACTCTATTATTTTTGGCTGTTCTTAGATATAGGCCATTATACACCCCATGTCATCATTTTCTTAACTTTTCATTTTAAGGCACCCCAGGCTATAAAAGAGGAGGTGGCAAAAGCTTACTCAGGTGGTTGTTTTTTGTTTTTTTTTTACTATACAAATAAATACAAATAAAGCAACATTCATTAACCATATAAACAAGCACAGTTCCAGCTGAATTCAAAACTTCATTGGACTTAGCTTTATTAAATATGATTTCTGACCAAGCTCACCGTCTTTGCAACATTTCTGTGTACATGTGTGTGTATGAATTGCTATGTTACTTCTCAACAGACACATGCTCTATTCATACTTTTGTGTATCACCAATTTTATATACATATATATGTGTGTGTGTGTATATATAAATATATCTAAAATGGTTCCTATCACATAATGATGCACTGTCAATCACAGTGGGTTTCTTTCCTGCGTATGGACTTTCTTTATTTGTACTATAACAGAACATGTTGATGTTGTATATTAAACAGTACAGTGGTATAAGTAATATTAAGATATGGTGTATCAGAGGGCATAGTCAAAAGGCAGGGGCAAACAGCATTTCCCATTCATGAAGGGGATTTGGGGGGTTATTTTTTGGATTGCTTTTGCACAAATCATCTTCAATTTGTTTAGAAGCAAATGTTTCAATAATTTTATTGCACATGACAGGAAGGCATGAAAGTAGGATGCTGTGTACATACATCTAAACAAACTGTGCCCTCAGAAAACTAGCTTAGTATAATCTCCCTTTTTTCCATGCTTTGCTGTGGTGCAATAACTTAATATAGTTTAACTGAGCCGAGAAAAAGAGTAAACATGGTGAATGGCTTTAAGTTTATACCTGTGTGGAAAAAAAAAAGGTAAAAAAGAACCACTTTCTAGCCCTTCCCTGGGCACTGCCTTTTCCAATAGAAACATTGCATTTACACTTTTTTTTTTTTCCTGTTATTTTTTTTTTTAAATTTTTTTTTTTTTTTTTTTTTGAGAAAATTGTATTTGAAAAAATCATAAAAAATGTGAAATGTTATTAAGTTTTGCCTGCAAAGTGAGATGTATGTATGTTGTAAGATAATGTGATTGGGGAAAAAAGAGAGAAGGAGAGAAGGAGAGAGAGAAGGAGAGAAAGAGAGGGAAGGAAATAAAACACCACAACCAAAAGAGACATGAAAGCCCAGAACATTTCTGTTGCTTTCCTAGCAGTGAAGAAGCAACTGTGTACAGCTCAGGCCCTGTATGGGTGGGTGGTTGTAAGTGAGCAGTGCACAGCCCTGAGGGACACTCAATAGGCAGCATCACCCTCAGCCTCTGGTACCACACCCTGTGGTGAGTTTGTCCCTGCTGTCCTCCCAGTCCATCTTCGGAGGCCAAAAAAAGATCACACTGCTTCTGACAGGCTGCATATAGCTGCCTTGCCAAGCCACTTCCAGCTGCACAGATTTGCTACATCCCACCAGCACTGCCCTTGGCCACAAAATCTCAGGTAGCTGCTTCGTGCAGCTGACTTTAAGCAGGCTTCTTCCCTTCCAGTCAGCCCTTGCCCTTTCCTCCATCAGCAAGACTAAGCCATTACAGAACACAATTACTTCTGCATGTAGAGTCATGGTAATTCAAAAGAAAACACTGAGAAATTATTTCTACTATTTACCATAACAAAGGTGATTTCTCTCTGCGGGTGTCTCTGTTTCTTTCAGATTCCAGCACAGTAAATTTCACATCACATATTAATGCAAACAAGAATCATTGTTTTGTTTAGAAAAGGCACAGTTTATAAGTTTTAGAACTATTTACGTTTGTAAAACAGTATTATTATGAACAAAATGAGATTTAAAAAGCCCTTTGGTATCGTAATCAATTATTTTACAGATTACTAAAACTAGATATTCCTCAAGTTACTTGCATTTATTTTCATCATCAACTATTACTATTTTTCTGTAAGAAGGAAGATTCCAGTGTCACCATAGCCAGTTCTCAGTAAATGAACTGAACTATACTCTTCAGTTTCAGCAAATGGCTCTCCAAGAAATTAAGATGTTAAATGATAATAATCACAAAAAGACTAAATGTAATATTCCCAGTAGAAATTATTAAATCCTTGAACTTACTCAGATTTAAAGTTTGCATTGCTAAAAACCCACGGCAGGTATTTCTTGTTTCAAAGACTTTCTATCAAATCATCTTACTTATGCTTTTCCTACTCTCTTAACTAGATTAAATGGTACCAGAAATGGCTGTAGGTGGGAAGATACGCAATGTTACACAGACACCAGTGAGTATTTGTAGCTGTGAGTCCCCAGCCAGGATTCCCAATCCATATTTAAGCATCTACGCATGTGCTCACCAACTAATGTTCTCTGATCAGTCTTTAAAATCAAGAAACAAACTGAAACAGCCATGATTCTTCATGTAAATATCAAAATAAGAACTCAGAACCAGATCTGGAGTACAGATATCTGATAATATCATTATTTCCTACTTTTTTCTGGGTGAGGAAAAAAAAAAATCACTTGGAGAAAAGTGCTTAGGAGCGTTTCTGACTTTCCCAACAGACTGAAAATACTGCACCACTTTTGCAAACTGGGTTGCACCTGCAATCAAAAGACACGACCTACTGCTTGTTTGGAAGGAAAATGGTGCACGAGACCAAATTGTGGTCTTAATGCAGCATAAAGGACCAAAACCCATCAGAACTGGTCTGTAAAAGGTGCCAGAATTGGGTAACAGAGGTCTTAGGTCTTAATTTTAAAAAGAGGTCCATTATCCCAGTTTCCTAGTTTTAACTTCTGGCTTTTTCTCCAACTCTGAATTTCCAGGGCTCCTGAATGCACAATTCTCAAAAATCACTGGAAGTTGTTCAAGCAAAGCATTTCTGAAATCGTGCCACTGTTGCCAGAAGATAGGTACCCTCCAAAAAAGGAGGACCAACGGATTAGCAGTTTTACTGAAAATGGGATAGATGGGAGTGAGAAATACAAAGATGGGCTTCAGAGAGCATCACTTTCCAACCAAAAAAAAATGGACTGCAGCAAGCACAGCTGAAACTACACTGTGCTAAAAGAGACTACTAACTGCAGTGAGAGTTGAGCTAACTGCTAATTTATTTAAAGTAAGGCCTCACTGCTTTAGAGAGGACCCAGGTTGCAGAACAATTCCCAGTTTTATCTGTCCCGACCACACGTATGAGGCATGTGAGTGACAGAGGGCAGCTGCTGCTGTTTCTGCCGCGGGTGGTGGCTGCAAATCACACAAACCAACGCCTTCCTGTCCCTTGGGAGAGAAGTGAAGGTTCTGGTTTATAAGCAGTTAGCAAAAAAAAAAAAAACAAAAATCTACACCTTGCAGCAGACAGCGAGCCCAGGGCTGGCGGGGTGAGGAAGTTAATCAGCACCAAGCAGGCTGTTCGGGATGAGGCCAAACAGATGGCTCGTCTCTGAA